AAAAGCATAAGGTAAAATATGAGTTACATAAGAATATCATCCTCAAGCTGGTGAAGGAGAATTTCCTTCTTAACTGCCCAAATGAAACATGCTCAACACACATTCCTTCAAAGAAATCCTAAATTTGGCTCCTCTATTTTATCTCTGCTATGACACCCACCCTCTCTCTGGATGGTGTACAATCTTTGGATTTGGGGTAGAAAATTTGTACATTATGAGGAGCTTCCAGCTCTTCGCTGTTCATTAAAGCAGATTGACTATTTATTTAGTTGATGAATTTAATTTATATGCCACCCATCTTGCTATCCTTTTGCAAGGCTTCTTTCTGTACTATTCTCAAAAAGAGGTGGCTGCAGTGGTTAAAGTGCGGTACTGCAGCAAACTCGGCCCACAGCCTGAATACCATTCTGACAGGGCTCAAGATCGACTCAGCCTTCCAACCTTCAGAAGTGGATAAAATGAGGATCCAGATTGTTGAGAGCAAGATGCTGACTCTTTAAACCGCTCAGAGAGGGCTGTAAAGCACTATGAAGCAGCATATAAGTCTAAGTGCTTTTGCTATTAGTGTCTATGGAGATTCTCAGTCATCCTGGTCATGGTTGTCCCGAAGGTGTTTTTTCAAGAGGCAACTGGACTTCTGGTTTTTCTTTAAAGACATTTTCCTTCTTATCCAAGAAACTTCTTCAGTTCTGGCTCTCCACCATCCAGTCAGAGCTGAAGAAGCTTCTTGGATGAGAAGTGAAATGTCTTCAAAGAAAAAACCAGAAGTCCAGTTGCCTCTTGAAACAGCACCTTTTGCATATTGCTATTACTATTAACTTCAGTAAGGCATCTTATATTAGCCACTTATTTTATAGGCTTGTGCAGAAGAAAACCACGCAAAAGATATGGTTTTTTTTAGGTAAGTCCACTTCCTATTAAACATATTCAATAATGGATGTTTTGTTTTGTTTTTGGTGCCTTTGATTCACCTCAGACTCCTAGCAAGTGCCTAGATATGTCCCTGCAGTTTTCTTGGTAAGATTCTAGAAGGTGTTTTGCCCTTGTTTCCTTCCTAGGCCGAGAATGAGTGATTGTTAGGCTTTGTGTTAAGGTGAAGCTAGAACTCACAGCCTCCCAGTTTTTAGCCTGGTGTTTTCTCCACTACACCAAACTGGCTCCTCATTCAAAGTATGAATAGTTCTATTAGACACCATTTGCTGTCCCATTCAGCATAGATCCAATCTTATATTACAACTGGCTGTGCTACTAAGCAGGAACATCCTTGTCTTGTCAGGGTGCTCAGCAGTAAATAGAGTTAATTTTTTTTTTGGTGGGGGGGCAGACAATGGCAGTGCGAATGAGAGAAGCTTAAGTAATTAAAAAATAACTCTGAAAAAATTCAATATGCATGTTTATGGGAACAGTCAATAAAGGAAAAATGTACTTCTATATACTTTGGGCTGTAAATGCCAAGAAGAACTAAATTAATTATGGCAGTAAAACAGAAACTATGAACAAGAGCATTAGGAAGAAATGAAGAGAGGAGATGGCATCTTTTAGCTTTCAGGATAAAACAAAAGACTTCATTTTAAATTATGATAATTGAATAATGATACCTGTAACAGTGGGGTGATGTCTAAGATTGTTGGAGCTACAGTTCAACTGTATGTGGAAGAGATCATACTGGAAAAGACTAAGCTATGAGATATTAAGTAATCTGAATAACAGAATAATAGGGAAGGAACTCTATCCACTGCTTCTTGTCCTGCCTTCTGGTGCTTTGGAAAACAGGTTGACCTCCTCTTCTTTGTGACAGCCCCTTAGATATTGGAACACTGCTATCATGTCACTCCTATACCTTAATCACACTTAAGGTTAAGTTTGCCTTGGGCAAAGGACAGTAATATATTAAGAAATACTGTACTGGAGAACCACTGTTATTGTCACACCAGGAGAAATTAGAAATATTGTTGAATACGTTCAAACCCTATCTATCTGCTTCTAGTAGCTAAAAATCAAAATTGTAAAATAGATCGATAGATCGATGATAGACAAACAGACAGATGGCTATTTCATACTTTTTAATCACCCATCTCCCTCATGTTTTTTGGTCGAAAATGCAAAAGTGTAAAAAGGGTGTGTCCTATTTATCAGAAGAGCTATGTTATTTCATCCCATCTAGAAATCATCAGTGTTGGTGGTTAAACGTCATAAATATAAATATCCAGTTAAAAAGGAAAAAAAATCAGCATTCCTCTTATATTTTGGATATGAATTAGGAATTAGTCTCTGTTCTAAAGAAGTATAAGCATCACTGCTTATATAATCTCTCTTTTGCTCCAGTGATCCATTTCCAGAAAATATTTGTTGAGCCGGAAAGGCAAATAAAGGGTCAGGAAGAAATGAAGAATATTGCAAAATTAGCTCCAAAGTGCCTGGACAGCACTGCAATAAAAATGCTTTTTTTCAGGAGGCAACTGGAATTTCTTGTTTTTTTTCTTTTGAAGGCAAAGGTGCTTCCTGAAAAAGCATCTTTAGGACAACCATGACCTAGATGACTGAAAATCTCTACAGACTTTTAGCTACACAATTTGGGATGAACACCCTTTGAATGGTGTGGGAGTAGGAATGAATTTCCAGAGGGAAAAAAATTACAGACTACAGGAACCAAGAGCTCAGGTAACCCTGAGGAAACAGATAAACTCCCAAGTGCTTCAACAACCCTCTAA